ATCAACTAAGAGGATAATTATTTCAATTAAAAACTCAAACAACGATCTGTTATCCCTCAGCATCATGAACAAATGATGATAACAATCAGGGAAATGTTATCTCATTCAATCATTTTTCCAAAAGCTAAAAGTATATACATAAAGTTGGGAAAAAAAGTTCCTAAAAAAATTGAAAATGAAGCAAAAATCTGATATAATCAAACTGATTCTTGAAAATGTAAACATTAAAATTGAGTTTCAACGTTTTCTTTTTATTATTATTATGATTTTAAGCTGAGAATAAATTTAAATTGAATATTTACCATGATAATAACTGAATCAATCAGAACTGCCAAACTAAAATGATAAGAATGAACAATTGTTGAGGTCCATTAGATTAGCTTACATAATAATATCGTGATTGTATTAAAAATTCAGAGGAAAATGAAGGATTCACCAAGAAAGAGGGAGAGAGAACAAGTCAAATTCAGTTGAAAGATTGAGAATATGAATCAATATTAATCAGTGTACATGAAAATATGAACAATAATGGAAACAGTAACAGAGGAAAAAAAATATTATATAAGAAATGGAAATAAAAAGTAATAGATGAATAGACTTGAGGCTGGAATCGTTAATGGATGAACATGAAAAAAAGTCCAAGAAAATGTAATAATAACTGAGAATGATAATATATTAATAGTAAATGCTAATAATAGGTTTCTAGCCCTAGGGCGTTGTTTCAAGCTCATCGCCATCATCATCATCATCTTCATTTTCATCTTCTTCATCATTATCATTATCATCTCTTCAGTCTCTCTCTCTCTCTCTCTACTCAGTTCAATTCAGTTGAATCTTTTTCCAGAAAATAGAATAACAAAAAAAATCTAAAAACAAAAATGAATTGAAAGTCAAATAAAAATGAATGAATATCAAATGAGATCAGAACTTTTTTCCTTCTCCTGAAAAAAAAATTCACTTTTTCCAATGAATATGATTGCCTAATTGCTGAATAAATTCAATTTATTATGTATTATATGAATTCACTTGTACGGTGATCAATTTAATTCTGTATTTATCTCAATCAAACTTAATCATAAACTTAGAATTAGAATTAACAAAAAAGACAAATGATTCTAATTGTTGATGAGAATAATATAAACATTTATCTTCTAATCGTGAATAATTAACACTATCATGTTCCCTGTTGTGTATAATAAATGTAATTAATTTCGTTAATTAATCAAATTGATTTCACATGAAACTTTCTCAATCCAGGTAAAGTTATTCACGAAGGAATATCGATGATAAAAAAAGTTCGTGGCTTCGATAACCACATTTGAGAGAGAGAGAGAGAGAGAGAGAGAGAGAGAGAGAGAGAGAGTAATTGTTAATTGGTTACGATTATATTCCGACTAATTGGAAATAGGTGATAATTGTAATCAAAGTGTAGAAAGTTATTCAATTGAAACTGAGAAAATTTCAGGGGAAAACATTTCGTACGCGGTTAAGAGTTCAAGAGAAAACGGTTCACTGAATCTTGATAGTTTTTTGTTTCTCTTTTTTCAAATTGAACTTTTTTTTTCGTAATTCGTATTATTATCAACAGGATTATCTTACAGAATTATAATCTTTATTTGCTCAACAACCATGAAAATTGAAGCCCTTTAACACAATTAACGGGTTAATTCATTTCTCTCTCTCAACCATTATCATCATTGGAAAATTTCATCTAATATAACAACAATTTGATGTGTAAATATATCAGGTAAATAGCTGAATGAGCCGTAATGTTGATTATTGAGATTAAATTGTTGATTCAGTTGAATGGAAAATGATTCCTTCTCAAGTTTCAAACGTTGAAATCAACCTGAAAATCAGATTGAAGAAAACCAATTACCTATTGTCATTTACCATCAAGACCCACATCAAATGTTATATTATATATATGAATTAACTTGACGGGGAGAAGGAAATTAAATTGAGAAAATGATTAACATGGTAAAGGTTGAGATTTTACTTTCACATTATCATGCATATAATTACATAAATATGCTAGTATATTATATTAATTAGAGGGAAACAACTAGCACCTAATTCATTCAACGTGCCATAAGATTTATGATTAACACGCCGATGAATTTTTCTAACGATAATTGAACACGCTTTCTGTTTTATCGTTACCTGTGCTCACTATCATTACCTTTACCACCCTCATATTTATTAATATCAGGAGGAGGAAAATTCATCTTCATCTCTCCATCATGAAAAGTGATCAAAATGATTGAAAATTATGTTGTTCATTTATATAATCATATACAAATTAAGAAACCGTGTTGAGAGTTAATTGTCTTGGTTACACTTAATCAAGATAATTGGATAGATTTATTAACAAAGAGATTGATTATCAGGAAAATTTCAATTCTCATAATCAATTGTTATTCTGTTTGTTGTATTGTTTTGTTTTTTGTTTCTTGTAGATAATCAATGAACAATCATCGTAATCAATTTTAATTCACTAATCAAAATTGTAACTCTAAGATAATCATCACTCATGAAACAATTTAAATGCCAAAGAAAATTTCAATTGTCTGAAAGTGGACAATGACCAGAAATGAATACGTGGCTTACCCTCTTGTATTTGCTTAACTAATCACAATTAACAAAGAATCTTATCTTAATCATGATAATCAGGATACAATTAGAGGACATTTAGGTCAAAGGGAAGATGGTAAAGTTAAGATGACTTTCATGTGAATCTCCATTAGGGAAAAGTAAAGAGTGAATGTCTTTCATAAGCTGATAGATTATGAGATAAGTTACATAACTGTCCAATCTTAAATGTCCATTGATAAACTAATAGAACTAAAAATGTACATATTATCATTTTCATCTTCATTAGTTTGTCACATCATCTTCATCAACCCTCAGGCTATCGATCTTACAATCTACAGGGTATTAGGCAAGTGAAACATTGGATAAAGTAAACACATTCTGATGTCAACTTGTACTAACCCTTTTTGTACTCGCATACAAATGAGTTAATTGATGAAGAGAAAATGACTTAATAATATTGTAAGAGAAATTAATTAGTTGAAACCCCTGAAAAGGAGGAGGAAATCAGAGTAATTGAAGTTGTGGTAGTTTAGAGAGAGAGAGAGAGAGAGAGAGAGAGAGATACAGGTAGTTGCATTGAATAAGAAATAGAGAAAATATAAAAAGATGAAGATAACTTAAGAAATAGACATGATTGACATTGGAAGATTGAGAATCGTGAACCTAAAGTGACATGATACTGTTGATGGAATTGATTCAATACTATGATGTGTTACTAAACTACCTTGCCCATCGGTCATTTGGTAAGAAATGAGAGAGAGAGAGGAAAAAAGTTATAAACAGATCAACATGATGATTTCATGTTAAATGTAGTTGATGTAGTCAAGCAAGTTACAGGTAAACGAGAGTAAAATGTGAAGATGAGATGTAAAGATGATGTTCTTGGTTGGATATCATCTTATTCCAGCCCAAAGTCTCATTTGTTGGACCCCTGAGAGGGTAAAAGTCAAGGAGGAGGCAAAAGAATAACAACAAAAAGAACAAGTTTCCCTTTTTTTTGTTCCTTTTCCATTCTCCATCTTGCTCATCATTCATATGTTCCTTTTTCCTATCCCAGTTCAATGATGATCTTCATGACATGAGATTCTGTTTTTCTCTCACTCACAGCTTCCGGTAACGAGACTTGTTATTACTAATAAGATGGAGAGAGGGAAATGTAAAGCAAAGTTCATCTTCTCTTGTGTGTTAAACCCTCTCAACTTTTAAGCCTCTTGACGGCGGTTAAAGTGAACCCAACCATTGACAACGAGCTGGAAAAACATGACAACACTTTTCAAATATTGTTTTCTTTTTAAATCAAGTTACTTTGAAATTATGTCAACCATGCAAATCAGAATAGAGACACAATTGTCTCTCTCTCTCTCTCTTTTAAAACAATAGATGGACTCTCAGTGGTAATATTGTTATCGATTCAAAGTTTTACTCACAAACTGTCCCATGAAAACTCAATAAGATGAGAAACAAAAAATTGAATCAAAGTTTCCATTCACTTAATGAGTGAAACACTTCAGAAACATTAATCATGAAGAGAGAGAGAAAACTTTTATAAGAATCAAATTATTGTAACTTTATGCTGCTAATAACGATCAATAATAATAACGAGAATTATATTAGAACAGTAAAAATGATAATGGACTGGACAGAGAGAAAATTAATCAATATTAAATAGGGAAAGTCCAGTTAATCGATTATTAATTTTCAATAGAGTATATAAAATATAATATTAAATATTATCATCTCTTTATATTCACTAATAAATCAGATTACTAACTATTACAAACTTTTGGAACAATTTTTTTTCCCTTATACATATTTACTAATTGTTGTTGAGGTTTAAGTAGCAAATGATAAATGTTTACCTGTGTTACCATTACAACTTAATTACTTAGTTGATTTCTTAATGTTCAAGATGATTATTAATAATGTATCATCATTATTGACTTTTGAGATTATTGAAAGTAAATAAGAATTGATAATTAATGCAGAGAGAGAGAGAGAGATTGTGATGATAATACTTGAGATGAACAATTAAGCCGAATGGATAAACAAGAGCGAAATCAGATCAAAGTTCAGAGATCTAATTAATGTCCTGTGTCTCTATGTGAACATCAATCAAATCTAAGATAATGTTTACCTTTTTAACTTCTCAATGGTTGATGATTAATGTATAAAGATGAAAGAAAATGAGAGAGAAACTCAAGAGATGATAATCATCATGTTGATAGAGAAAAAAAGTTCTCATTCAATTTTGTTACCTGTTGATTTACACTTTCCAAGCTTTTCTCTCATTGACTTATACTCTTCAATTCATTTAACTGTTCAATGATCAAAACTAGAAACTGATTGATATTAAATGGGAAGATTAATTTTTTCGTAAGAAAATTAAATCAACTAATTAATTTTACCTTGTTTTTGATGTTGTTGTTGTTGTTGTTGTGCTCGGTTACTCTGGTGATGATTAACCATTTGGTCAGCATCAATCATTAACACTTGATCAATACTGACCAACACTATTGATGTTAAAAGTGATGAGTAAAGTATACACAGTAAATTGATTAATTTAAACAATTGGACCAACATGTTAACAAGATATTATCACTCAGTTAAATCCAATAATTAGATAAATTATCCATTAATTAATAGAGACTAATCCGTGAATATAATCCTTGTTTGTTGATGTTGGTAAGAAGCAAAAACTTAATCACAATCAATATCAATTAGATGAAATTTTCCCGATCAAAATGTAAACTTGAAACACCGTAAGTTCATTTGGTGGATACCAATTGATTGTTTGACCATTTTAATTGTTGTTATTAAGGAAAATTGGATAACATAAAACATGAAACATGAAAGAAAAACAGTTTACAAAAGTCTATCCGATTCTCATCTCTCTCTTGTTCTGGTTAGAATACAAATCTCACTTTGTAACATCAAATCCTCATCCGAATGATGGAAACTTGAACAGCCATTGAATCGCCATCTCTTGAGTTACAATCAAATTAATCGATTCAATTGATTCGTTTCTTTTTGGTAAATCATTCTAATCATTACTAATCCAATAAGATTAACTTTTCATAATCTAATCTAGTACATCAGGTAATCAATTTGAATTTGCAAACAATTATAAAGGTTAAACACTTGATTAAAAATCTATTGCTCTTTGGTGTTGATTCTTATGCTTTTTGTTTGGTGTACTAATTATTCAAGTGAATTTAATTGTTGAGTGTTGAGTAAATTTATTTTTCTTTGATTGTAACTCGTCATTAACTACCAACCATGATGGCTGAACAATTTAGGAATGAAATATCCCCTGTGACTGTTGATAGTTATCTCCATCTTTTAAGATCAGATTTAAGTCTTGGTCAATGGGCTTCGAGATGTTTTTATATTGAAGGATGAATTCGATGGCCATGTCTTGATTGGTTCTAATGGTACTGAGTTTCACGATATTGTTGAATTTTCTCCTCACCAAAAAGTTCCTAGATGTTGGGTTGAACACCATGGGAGAACCTTTTTCCTGTAAGTAAAAAGATGCTAAATACTGGTACTATTGAAGAAGATGCTGATTATGAAGACATTCATTGAGAATTGAAATGATTCTGGTAGCCAGAAGAATCTATTAATACCATCAGCTGAAGTGTATCTTGAGTAAATTGAAGTTCGAGGATCAATTTAATTGAACGACTTATTAGTAAATCAGTAATTGTAATTAGATTTGAATAAACAGTAAATGATTAATAACCCGATAAGTTCAAGGTTAATCATGAATAGTAAGAAAAAAAAATGAAATCGATTATCTGAATTTCCATCCATTAGATGGCGTAGGAAACAGTTAAATTGTTAGTTGATTAATCGGCTAATTTAGTTGTTATGTAATTAATTTACTCAACAATTGTAACTAATTATTCAAAGTAACATATTGTGTTATATTAATTTATTACAGTCTCCCAAATTTTTAACCTTAAATACAATCAGAGAAATTGATTGTTTGCTTCCTGAAAATGAAATATTTAATCAGCTATCAAAGTAATTTAAATGATTGGTTAATTATATAAAATTGAATTGAATTGAATTGAATTGAGTAATATTGAAATTGTATGTTTACAATTTACTTTTACATCTCATCAATAATGATGATTACAATTTATGATACGGTTACGGAAGCAAATGAATAAAAAAACAAACAAATCATTTCACTTTTCAATAACAACTTTGAACTTAACATGTTATTGTAATAATGGAAAAGGGAAAACAATCAGATTGAAATATATTCATTAACAGTTTAATAGTGAATTCTGATTATTTGGATTGAAATCATCAGGAAGTCCATGAGTAAGTTCAATGATGTACATGATGAATTCATCTGAGCTTAAATGAGATCAGGATCTATTATAAAGAGAGAGAGAGAGAGAGAGAGAGATAAATGTGATCTATTCATGATGAAAGAATCATGTTGAAATTGATGATCAATTATTGCTAATTAATTAATGTTGTTTAATTAATTCCAGTTAATATACATTCACCATGGGAGATGATTATTGATAACTGATTGCATTTTAATTGTGAATGTTTATATTGTGAGTATTTATCTGGTTCACTGAATATTATTTACTCAAGTTTCCTTGAATTTTCATGATGAATTTACATGATGATGATGAACCATTTGATCTGGTTATTTGTTACTTATCTTGAATATGATAATAATAAATTTAATTGTAAATATCGACAAATGTAAAAAGTTATTCGATTACAATTCTAATTCATCAAACAAAAACTTTGACAAACTGAATTATCTTATAATCAATTTGATTCAGTTTGATAAGAATTACCATGTAAAAGCTTATTGAAAGTTTCACTTATTCCATCAAGAGATAGTCTAGTTAAATAATCAATTCTTAAGTGAGTTAATGTAATTTGATTCAGCAGAACTTTACAGAATCGATATTATTAATAAGTAGCTTCATGGTGAAAAAGGAAAAAAGGTAAAATTATTACCTTTCAAAGTTCTGCGATTCCAATTTTGTTCATCTTCACATCTCAGAGTAATTATCTTCTTCTTTTCACTTGATGAATGAAAATTTTCCTAAATTCTCCTATTAAAATGGTTAGTTGATTCTCGACAATCATGTAAATCATCATGATAATAATTTACGTAAACCGAGTTATCGAATTGGTTTCACATGGATGTTACAATATTCATTTTCAAAGTTGCAAACTTTAAAATCAACTGAATGCCCTGAAAATTTGCTACAGAATTTATAAAGTGTTGGATAAGCTTTTTTTTCCCTGTCAATTGAATAATGATTAAGTGAATTTATCAACGTCACCCTTGATTGTTGGTTAATAGATTAGAGATAATTAACCAAAGGATAGATTGTTAAAGAAACTGTAGTGTGATCAATGAATTTTGTTATACTTTTTTTTTCAACTTTCTTGCTCTTTATCACTTATGATGAGGATGCTCATGATGTTTATCATGTTAATCATGAAGGTAATCTAATATAACTATCAAGGTTGAAAAAGTCGTAAAAGTTGAAGCTTGAAATTTGTCAGGGGAGAGGAAAAAAAATGAATCAATCTAACGGTAAATCATAATTTCCCATCAATGGAAGGATAAATTCTCATTTCTCCGTTCACCATGAACATATTCATATGATGGAATCGAGTTGAGGTTTGAACAATTGAGAGTCAAGAATAGAAATTTGGGATTCTTGGTAACAGTTCAATCAATTGTTATTATTTGGAATTCATATTGAATAATATCATGTCTTGTGTCAGAATGTATCAGGGAAAAGTTTACCACAATTCTCATGATTTCATCAAGTTCAAGGTTATAAAGTTGAAAGATCGATTCCATTTGTTATTCTATGAACAATTTCAAGTTCTTTTCCCTCATATTGACTATTCGTCTTTCCTGTGGGATATTTCATCAGTAATAGATGAACAATGTCACCTAGAATATAGTAAAAGTTTTATCTCATTATATTGTTTGTTCAAAGTTCAATTTCGAGGCCAAGTGGATAACAAATAATTCTGATCACTTGAGCCGATGAAAATGAACCTTGAGGCGTAAACAGAATACTCAATGTATATATATAAATTACGAAGTGTCCATTGATATCCACACAAACGTATTAATACAAACACGAGAAAATTATCATAAGAAAATGTTGCCAATACGATTGATTCATTTTCACCAGTTGCAACTCAGATTCAATGAATTATCAATCACATTCCCCTGATTCTCATGAATTTTCATACACCAAACAATTGAAAAAGGATGTTTAGTTGATCGAGTTCAAGTTTCATCGTTTATTTTTAGCCACTTTAATGTGTCAAAGTTTTTCATTATTATCATGTAAATGATTAGATGAACTTCAATCAATAGCAACGGAAATTAATCAACAACATTGATTGCTGATGATTAGAGAGAGAGAGGAAAAAAATTAATCGTTGATAATTATTAGTAGTAATTAACTTTCACAGTAGTAAGAGACTAACACTTGACATCTCTGGCACAGTTGACGCCTCTCTAACAGTACATCTCTAGCACAAGTACATCTCTGGCACAGGTACATTTCTAGCACAAGTACATCTCTGGCACAGGTACATTTCTAGCACAGGTACATCTCTAGCACAGATACATTTCTAGCACAGGTACATCTCTGGCACACGTAGGTTTCTATCACAGGGACATCTTTAACACAAGTACATGTTTAACACAGATACATCTCTAGCACAGGTACATTAAGTTACACTTATAAAGTTGACATCTCTGAAACATATTAAAACCAACATTTCGTATACATTAAAATTGACATCTCTAGAACAGGTTATCATTTAATATACATTTCTAACACACATAAAGTTGACATCTCTAGAACAAGAGTCAGTAATATAAACTTATTGTATCTGGAACAATACATCTCTAGCTCAATCTATTACACATGCGTCGAGTCAAATCAAATAGTATATAAACTGAGTGAATCTTGAGGAAAATCATCAGTTTTCCTTCACCTTCACTAGAGTTACTTTCACAGGTCTCCAAGTTTTGTTGTGTTCAATATGGAAAAAAGAATGTATTTTTTTACTATCTGGAAAATGAGTGTAACTCTTCGATTGATGTTCACTGATAAGGTCCGTCGAGTTGATATACGATCGTTCAATATGGGTAACAAATGTGGTGTAAGTCTAACACCCTCCGAGTTAAGACATGTTTTCTACCATGCTGAATTTTACAATGATGAGTCTCCAGATCTCAACTACTTTGATTTAAAGATTGAAAGGGATGGTCCCAAGACGTTCAAAGTCAGTAAAGGAGGTAAACCTGGTATTGTATTATCAACTGGTCACTTCAATTACTGGAGACCACTACTTCCTGCTCTGGTATACTTAATATCTGAAAAAAATTTACCAATACAACAACTACTTGATCTCAAGTACTTATCAACTAAGCTGTCGATTCATGATTTGGTTAGACGACGATGGAGTGATCTTACCGAGGATGAATATGTGCCAGAGGTGTCTTTCCTACATGATCTTGATCTTATTGATCCAGAAATGTATAAGAAGTGTAAAATCGATTGGGAAGCACTTAATTCATTTTATAGATCAGATCCTCTTGTATTCGAATCTCTCGCCAAGTTTATGTATATATAAGATGAGACAAAACTTGGTTAACCATCATTTTGATTTAGACCTTCATCAAGTAAACATGGATCACATTTGTGCTTATTTCGACACACAAGGATTCTATATCAACAATCTTTTCCATCCTGCTGAAGTTGCCTTGTTAGCTGATGGTCGTATCATTCACCTCAAAGTTCGAAAGGCTTGTGATTGTTCTCTCTCTCAAGATGAAAAGAATCAAGCCAAGTATCTTACCACTTATCTTCACGGACTCGAAATCAATAACGAAGGAGTTTCTACTCAAGAGATGAAGGAGATAATCGTCAAGCACTTCAGAGCCAGTCGGAAAAATGGATACGTCTTAACAGCCTGTAAGTCAAAGCAATCAGAGGAACTATTGGACTGGATGGATATTCCTTATGTCAACATAAACAACTTGTATGGAGCCTCGTGCAAATCAATAAATGATGATAGAAAACCATGTATTAATCATAAACAAAATGTAATCAAATTTAAATGTTCCCTTTCTATTGTACAAGACATGGCCACTTATATGAAAAAGTATAAGAATGGTATCGATGTCGTTGATTAACCTGTTTAAGAAAAACATTAAATAATTTTCAAACTTAACCATGTCTACCTTTAACGTTTATTTACATCATCCTTTCACCATGTTGGTCGCGGGACCGACTGGTTGTGGTAAAACTTACTGGTTAAAGAGACTTCTTGATAATGTAAGTAAGTATTGTTTACCTGAGCCGGCAAGAGTAACTTACTTTTACGGAGAGTACCAGAGTATCTTTGGTTCTATGCCAAAGGTAAACTTCATCCAAGGTCTGCCTGAGAACATGATATCAAAGTTTGACGGTGTTCAGCCAGAGTGGGTCATCATAGATGATCTTATGTTAGAGTCAACAAGCTCAAAGGTTATAAGTGAGTTGTTTACGAAAGGTTCACATCACCGTAACCTATCAGTGATATTACTGGTTCAAAATTTTTTCACAAGGGGTAAAGAAAGTAGAAATATTTCCCTTAATGCCCAATATTTGGTATTATTTAAAAATCCAAGGGATCAATCAATCATTTCGTCTATCGGTCGACAAATGTTACCAGGTAAAACATCAAAATTACAATCGATTTATGAAGATGCAACAAAGAAACCTTATTCATATCTTTTTATTGACTTGAAACCTGAGACACCAGAAGAGACAAGGTTTCTAAGTAATGTTCTCGATGAAGAACCATACATAACATCATACATAGTATAAGAAAGGTGATACTCTATCTTAAGCTATTAATAAACTTCAATCATGACAGTTAAACAAGCAATCAAGTATTTTCCCTGTCTTCAAGCACTGGCTAAAGCCAAAAGTGTTAAACAGAGGAAGAAGATTTTAGCAACTTCCCCTAAATGTATTTACAATGTTCTAGTGGATATAGTCAAACAAATACTCGGTGGGAAAATACCAGTCAAACCACATTACAAAACCAAATTAAAACGGTATAAGAATGTGTTCCGTAAATTAGCTGGAAAGTTGAAAAGTCCGAATAAAAGACAAATCATCAACCAAGCAGGAGGTTTCTTACCACTGTTAATAAAACCAGCTCTTACAATACTAGCTACAATAGCAGCTAACAAACTTATGCAATGAATACAGTAACGAGAATGTATCTTGTAACTGAGGATCAGTATAAGAGAAATGTATTGAGACCTAGTATGACACGAAAAATATTAAATAAAAATTTACCAACTGAAACTAAAGTGAAATTCATTAATAATATGGTAGCACGAGCAAGTGACAAGTACTTGGACCCTGTTGAGTATTATAATCAACCTGAAGAGTCAACACAAGAAGAGTTTTATGATACAGCAGCAACAGAGCCTTCATCAATTGATGAGACTAAACAGGAAGAGAGTGATGAACCTATGGATACTACAATCAAGGAAACTCAGCCAATGACAAGTACACCAGCAACCAGTAAATATTATTCAACAAGTAGAGTAATTACACCAACATCATCACAGAAAAAGAAACAGAAAAAACAATTGGAGTTAGTACTGAGAAGTATCAAAGGTCTTGTAGGAGAGAATGATGTGATTCTTGGCCCGGACAAGAAACCAGTTCACAACAGTAATGTTAAAAAGATTGTCGAGCATTTAAGAAAACAACAGACAAAAGCAAGAGCACCTAATGGATACTATCAGGTTATACATTCACTGTTGATGAGCGAGACAGATGCCACAAAACTAATTCATAATAAACAGGCACTGACAGCTCTTGAAGTACAGAAATCATTCCCTTCATCATGGCAACAACTGACAAAAAGTTAAAAGAAATTTATTTCGATCCTAAATCTCCTGGTTCATTTGGAAGTGTAAGAAAGTTATACTTTGAAGCCAAGAAAGAAATCCCTGATTTAAAGTACAAAGATGTAGAGAAATGGTTATTCAAACAAGATACATATTCACTGTTCAGACAACCAAATAACAAGTTCCCAAGATTACCAATTTTGGTAGATAAAATTGACGAGCAGTGGCAAGGAGATTTGATGGACATGTCTTGGGTAACAAGAGAAAATAACAAGTACATTCTTGTTTTGATTGATTGTTTGAGTCGATACGCTTGGGCAGTACCGGTTAAAGATAAGTCAGCAAAGACAATGATTGAATCAATCAAGTATATTTTTGAAAAGTCGGGAAGAAAACCTGATAAACTGCAAACTGACCAAGGTAAAGAGTTTGTCAACACTTACTTGAGAACCTTCCTTACAAGTCACAAGGTAAATCATTTTACAGCAACTGATGGAACAATAAAGTGTGCTATTGTCGAGAGATTCAACAGAACATTAAGGAGTCGTATATACAGATACTTCAATGCAAAAGAGACAAGAAGGTATATTGACGTGTTGGATGATCTAATGGAGGCATACAATTCATCATACCACAGAACAATTAAGATGTCACCTCTTGATGCTTTAAGTGACCCAGATACGGCTAAAAGTAACATCTTCAAGGGTCAGAAACATAACACTTCTAAGCAAAAACCATTCAAAGTAGGTGATGAAGTTAGAATCACGGTAAAGAAGTTGGTATTTGAGAAGGGTGCAACTGAAAAGTGGAAGGAAGAGGTGTTTAAAGTAGCTAAGGTAAAACTAACACCACAAGGTTATGTTTACCGTCTTGTTGATTGGGGTGATGAACCTATTACATCAATCTTCTATCATGATGAACTCTTTCCAGCCAAGTATCCTGAGTTGTATAAGACAACTGTGTTGAAGACGAGAGTTAATCCCAAGACAAGGAAAAAAGAGTATTTTGTAAAGTATAGAGGATACCCTGATAAGTTTAACGCCTGGGTCGATCATGTCAATAATGTCGAATGAGTTTGTTGTTGATGTCATATCCAATGCAAGTATGGACATTCATAAGAACAATACTCTATCAGAGTTTACTAACCGTCTACCTCAACCGTTACATCTTGATGGAGAATGGTTAGTTGCCGTACAAGAGATAATATATCCATTAGCACATAAAGGAAATAAACGGAGTATCAAATACAAGTTCAATATTGGTGAAAGGATGTACAAGTTTGATTATTCAGAAAGTGAAAAAAGTGACAAACTAATTGAAGAGATCAACTCTAGTATGAAATCATCTTACCGAAGTGAATATCCAAGTCTGAAGCCTAATGAGTTACAGCCACCAGTATTCTCATTAGTTAAAGTGAATGATGATGGTAAAGAGAAAGAAAAAATTATGATGAACCTGGGGCGGCCCCCGAACTCAGTGAATTATCTTTTTCCCTTGTGGAATGATCTCTCTTTCATGAGAATCCTCGGCTTTGATGGGTACTCTTACAGAAAGAAGGTAATGGAAGCAGTTAAAGATAAGTCATTCTCTATCGTGGCTCAATACCAACCTGATATCGGACCCAAGGCCCATCTAGTGTTCATTTGTACAGATATTATACATGAACACTTAGTTGGGGATACGAATGCACGAGTACTAAGAGTTATACCTCTCAACAAGAATGTTGTAGACACATTACATCACATCACTTTCACCACACCTTACTATTACCCAGTAAGAAAAAATACAATCGATGAAATAAGTATAAGAATTGTTGATGAAGGTGGTGACAATATCAAGTTCAAGTCAGGAAGGGTTTTCTTGAGTTTACATTTTAAACGTAAAGAGACTGTATAAGAAGGTTAACAATATAAAGTGAAGTAAAAATCTAAAGATGAACCGTAAAGTATACTGTTCGTGTGACAGTGATTTCTCACATCATTATCAACAACAAGCAGGTGGATTATCTGACATAACAGTATTTAGAGGACAACCTTATCAGAGAGGATACGGGTTTGGATCAGTATTCAGGAGGTTCGGGATTCCAATCTTGAAATTTCTGGGTAAACAGTTAGTAAGAACAGGGATAAATATTGGTAATGATTACTTACAAGGAAACAACTTACGTACATCATTCAAAACTCACGGGAAACAAGGTATAAGAACTTCAGCCAAAGAAGGTTTAAAAAAATTAAACGAGTTACTAGACCAATCTGGCAGTGGTATAAGAAAGCGAAGTGTTAAACAAAAAAAAGCTTTGAAGAGACTTAAACGTGATATCTTTTCATAATGGAGTACCTACATGAATCATCAATGCCTGCAAGTAAATCCGAACTGCAAGTGTTTTCAATACCACCAACTCAAACAGCAATTGAAAGTAGCTATGAAGTGGAGTATCGTCCTAGTGCGAGTCTTGAGTCTAATAACTTTTATGAAATCAATATTCCAGCGAGTGAAGACTTTACAGATCTGGCAGCTACCATGCTTCATATTCATCTTATTGTTACGTCAAAAGATAATAAACCTCTTACAGAAACGAGTAAAATCAAGGCTGTTCAAAACTTTGGTAATGCATTATTTGAACAAGTTGATGTTGCAATTGGATCAGTCAATACTGTTCAAGCTAACAATACATATCACTATCAAGCTTATTTGGAAGATCTCTTCTTCAGACATCCTAATCAAGTTGACTCAGGGTTTCACGTATCTGAAGAAAGATTACAATCTTCTGTTGATCTTTACTTTCGGTTACACTCTCCGTTATGTGAACAGGACAAACTTCTAATTAATGGTCTACCATTGTCATTCCGATTCACCAAAAGTCCCGATGGTTTTGCTCTTATTAAGACTGATGCTGCTGATACCAACAATTATAAGATCAAGTTTGATCACTTTGCTTTACATATCAAGAGAGTTAAATTATTCCCTGAAGCTCAGAAGAGTATCATTACTGGTCTTGAGAAAAGTCCAGCTAAATACTTTATTACAAGAAATGATGTCAAGTGTTTCTCTATTCCTTCTGGTCAATCATCAGCCTCTTTTGAAAATGTTTATAATGGTGTAATACCAAGACGGATTATTATCGGTCTGGTAAAGGATGCTGCTCAAGAGGAAAGTATTTACCTCGATCCATTTCAATTCAGACATTTCAATGCCAATTTTGTTTCATTCACTGTTGACGGTGTGATGATACCATCTATTCCATATACTCCGAATCACAAGTTAAAACTCTACATGAGAGAATTCATTAATCTCTACCGATGTTTCAATCAAGATGAAGGTATCCCTCAACTTAACATCAAGTATGAAGATTACCCTTCCAATTTTGCATTGTATGCTTTTGATCTATCTCCTGATGGATCAATCGGAGCTGAGACAGGAACTCTATCTCTAATCAAGAGAGGTAATATAAGATTGGACATTAAGTTTGCTGAAAAGTTAGGATCATCAGTTAAAGTGGTTGTGTTTGGACAGTTCGACAATCTAATTACAATTGACAAGGAACGTAACGTTACATTGGATTATTAAATATGTTAACTACTCACGAGATTATGTATCTTCTCCAAGAGATACCTTGGTTTTCAGGAGTTTTCCCTCTTGACAGACTACCAGTAACCCTTGAAAGGAACAAGGCAATCATAATCAACTTGGATGAAAGTTATAAAGAGGGAAGTCACTGGGTGTCACTCTACCTTGATGATAAAGGAGTTGGTCATTACTTTGATTCATTCGGTCGGACCCCGAAAGGACATGTACTTACATTCATTGAACGAGTTTCAAACTATATAATTGTTAATCCTCACAAGTATCAAGGTAATCTCTCAACAGCTTGTGGTTATTTCTGTATTCTTTTCGTACTATCAACTCAATCAAACTTGAACAAGTTTTACACGATGTTTCGCGAATGTGAACACATTGAAAATGACACCAAATTGTTTAACATGTTCAAAAGTTTTTTAATAAACTAATTTTTTTTTAAATCAAAGTAGCAAAGTTATTTACATGACAATAGATTAATATTAAATGGGAGATAAAATATGAAAGTGAACAATAAATATAAAATTAATTAACAAAATAATACAAAATTAATTAACAAAACTAATTAACAAAACTAATTAACAAAAATTCAAATACAAAGATTAATCAAATATTTTATAGTGACCATAAGCTAGTGATCTCACACTATCCAATAAATATCTCTTGTCTTCAAATGGTGAGATGGACAATTTATTTTGTTTAATCATATGGATCTTGTGATTCTCAGATCCAATCCTGGCAGCTTCATTCCTCAGAATCTTGTGATCATTAAGAGAAAGGAGATAATCATCAAAGCCAATGTGTTTCTTCAGTACAACTCTTGGAACACCTTTAGCTCTTTTCTTTATTCCATCCTCTGTACTGAGAGCATACAGTTTCGGTCGAAGTCCAACAAATTCAAAGATCTCTTTTCCACCCATCTCATCCTTGAGGTAGCCAATCTTCTTACAATTCTCCATTGAAAACAATTCGTGATCTCTCGGATAATTGGAGAAGTCCATGATGTTGGAGAAGTGTTTGAGGTCATTCATCAAACTATCAGTCTTGATGTTGTAGATCAAACTATCGGTGTCAGTATATACCAACTCGATCTTTGACCCATAATACGGTTTGAAAGTATCATAGTGAAGTTGATACATTTTCAACTTGGCCAACTCAAGAACAGAGAATCCAACTACGATCGGCTTCTTCATCTCCACCTTCAATGTCTTCATGACAAAAATGATCTTGTTTTCGTCCAGGATATTGAAGTCTTTACACAAGTTCCTCCTGACGGCTCTCTCAGCTTCAATGTCTCTCAAGGCAATATGAACTTTTGTATGTTTACGGACATCTTCAATTGTTTTTCCGTAAATAGAATTGACCATCAGCTTCCAAAAGTCCTTTTCGAAATCAGATGTAGATGATTGTCTCCGTGATGTACAAAAGTCCACATATTCTCTCAACCAAGGTGATTGTCGGAATGAGATAGCTCTGTGTACTTTTTGTACATCAAGTCCTTGTTTGACATAAAACTTCAATGTCTTGTAGTGAATCACGTATTTTTCTTTACGGAAAAAGGTTGTAACCAACTTGGTTGAAGAGATATTCTTAACTCCTTTCTCACTAAGATTTTTTACCAACTCTTTTTGGTAAGGAGAGTATAGATCACTTTTAACGGTCATCTTGTGTGGAGCCAGAGGAAAATCATTATGATTATCGTGAAGATGAGATGGATAGTCCATATCAATCTCGAGAATGAAACCAATGTCAGAGTCATCATCATGATCCAGTACATCATCAAGAAAATCAGGATGGATATCACACCATTTGAAGCCATCGTGAGGTAATTTTTGACTCATGGCATAACCGTAAAGGTTATTGACGTCCAAGTATAACAAGTGATTGTTTTCTTTTGTCTCATCATAATTAGGGACATTAGGGTTGTTGGCTTTGACATGACGATGAGTTACCATTGTTAATCCACCTCTGATCCCTTTCTCGATCATTAACAACATGTCAACATCAGTGAAAAGTTCAAGTTCAACTTTTGTTTTCTTCATAGATGCGGCCCATGTTAAACCAGGAGAAGAGAAGTGATGAAGTGGATCAATGTTGAAAGCAACCATACTTGTTTCCCGAAAGCTTTCAAAGACAGCAGCTAGTAAGAGGACATCTACCTTAAGATAAACATCATGAAGATCCTTAAGAGTTTTGCAGTTGAAATATGACCAGACAGCTTGTACATGATCATATGTTTCTTGATCGATTTCAGATTCACTTAGACTGGAATAGAACTTGTCTTTACCAGGTAAGTCATCATTAAACTTGTCTAAATCAGTCAAGTACTCATATGGAATCGATCCTTTCTTGTGAAGTAATGATGTATCACAGTCGAAAAGCTGTTTCAGATATTTATCTTTCTGAGCAGGTATCAGGTTAGAAGCCAAATTATCCAGACTTGCAGGTAAGAATGAAAAACTATCCAGGAATTTAAGATCATCAATCCAAAAGGCAATGTATTTTTCGGCAGTGTGAGGAATGATGTTTATCTTATCCTTGGTCATGGTATGATCAAGTTCACTTATAATGATGTGACCATCAAAGTTTTTTAAGTTGTGAAATACAACTGGAAATTGTTTTGGTAATTGGTATTCCAAGTTACATTTGTTGTGAGCTGCTCCTCGGAATCTCCCAGTGAGATGATCATGATCACGAACAGAAACTTGACCTAATGGTAATTCACAGATGTGACAAACTGTAGCTGATTGGAAAGCTCTTTCATCAGCTTCACTCATACAAAGAGGTTTTATATTCTGGCTCAGATAGTTGTTCATCAATGATTTAGCTTCAATGAGACTATTGATGAACTTTTTTCCTACATCATCGCCAAGGTAAAAGTCTTTGTGAATGATACGACCTTCCCAATCAACCACAATGTACCCATAGCTACAAGGTTTCAAGTCTCGTGAATCACTAGTCTCGGTCTTCGGTACAGAAAGAGTCTCAAAATCGGCATAAATTACGAAAGGATGTTTAATCTCCTTCCGATAATCCTTTCGTTTGAGTATGTTGTCATGTTTGGATGGTAAAATGATTGTTTGTGGTACATTAACCATACAGTCCACTTGATGATCTATCAACTTCTCTGCAGATCTGAACTTCTGGAGACAACTGTGACAAATGTGTCGATGATTGGTACCTTTTTTACTAACTAAACGGTTAAAGTTAGATATCATATAATAATGATCATTCAGTAAAAAAAGGTTAACATGTTTCTCTTGTTCTAATTTGACTATTTTAAGAGGAACAATTGTTGTTTTCTCAAATTCACAAGTGTACACATTAACACTTATCCTATTCGTCCGTTCGAACTTGTTGATATTTGTGACAGGAACAACACCTCGTACATCAGAGAAGTCATATGAAGAAATCAGTGATTGATAGTGATTGAGACGCTGAGGGTTCCGTTTACCATGATGATGAAGACCAATTAAAATACTGTACATGAAACAGTCTGTATCTGTTTCAGGAGATATCAGACATTTCTTCACAGCTATCTCTTTAGGTAGCTTGTGAGTGAGACAACCACCACGATCAGCACGAAAATTAGCAGCCTTGAGATCAACACAGTCAATACTCGACAACGTCCAATTAGATCCTCTCTGAGTGAATTGATCAATCTTCTCTTGTATCCTCTGGAAAGACATAAGAACCAGATCCTCTACTCCATCTGAAACCAATACACTTTGTAATGGGGTGTTGAAATAAGCTTTACAAACTTTACCCTCTTCCAAAGGATTGATGAAAGTACAACAACAGGTCAAGGAAAATTTAGCTGCTCCATACTTTGATGTGAGTAATTGGATAAGAGATGATGATGAAAACAAAGCATTGTCAATCAAAGACTGGATATCAACAATGTTGTCTGGTTGTAAACGATAAGTCACATACTCATTGGCAAATGCTTTTTTAGTAAGTATGAAACCATCGTGTTGAACAGGAACATCGACCGTTTTCCGTACTGTTTTTGACTGGTTACCACACCATTTCTTGTGATTATCGAGATAACTACGAGCTGTATAAGTTTTACCACAGAAATCACAAGCAAATTTGATGCCCTTTGGTTTGGTTACTGGATTTTTCTGTGGTTTGCTTGGGCCTGGTAATGATAAGACATCATCATTGTTACCACCATCCTGTTTATTACCGACGCCATTACCATCCTGATCATTACCATTACCATTACCATTACCATTACCATTACCATTACCATTACCATTACCATTACCATTACCATTACCATTACCATTACCATTACCATTACCATTACCATTACCATTACCATTCTCATTACCACCCTGTCCATTTCCATTACCATTATCATTACCATCCTGTCCATTTCCATTATCAACGTCCATGTCGTCTAACCGTTCAATAACAGTAGTTAGCTCTGGTTCTGGTTCTGGTTCTGGTTCTACTCGTCTTGGTGGAGCATATTGTATCACAGATACTCGATTGGATGGAACTTCAACCTCAGGAATAACTGGTTCAATCACCTCACAGGAGTTATCACAACTAGAAGACGTTCTTTGTCTCTTATGTGGGTTAACTTCAGGAGGTGATGTGAAAACATCCAACATTGAACAGGGAAGTGAAAGACATGTGCAGAAATGAGACAAGTATGATCCAAGATCGTCATCTGCGGTAAGACAACATGGGCAAACGAATACCTGTAAAAGAAAAAGATGAATATAAAGATGGTTATTAGTTAAGGTAATACATAAGGGATTACCAAAGAAGCTTTTTTCTTTTTGATTAGTTGTGCTTTCTGCTTTTTGATTTGATTTTTTGTTGTTTTTGTTGTTGTTTTTTAATATTTATTAAAGAAATAATTATGAATCAGCCTTTTTATATAAGGCAGCAGAATTAGCTTTGAGTTTATTGGCTCTCTCCATGAGATCCTCACTCGCGGCCGTGTACATCCAATTATCTGGATTGGTAGCAGCCTT